CCCTGCCTAGTCTTGTGTTGAACGGCTTTAGCAAGCCATTCAACTTCCACGGATTTCTGCTCCTTCATCTAAAAATCAGAGATACAAACAGAGCCTATCTCATAGGTTGCTATGAAGATGAAGTGAAACAGTACATATACAGTACTTAATACAGTGCAAGCACCAAAAAAGCAATGAACATTTGTTAACTATCCTGTCCATATTACAGCTTGGATATGGGACATGACATGCATGGGCTGAGGTTGAAGAACTAAGTAGAAGTGGATCATTCTAGGAGACTAATTACAGTAAAAAGAAAGGGCTGCAAGAGGCCAGGTGAAGCCAATATTGGGGGCGATCAGAGTAAGAGGCAGAGAACAATCCAGTTAGAATTGGAAAAGAGGGACCTATGGGACTACATGCCATCAGAGGTGAGGGCAATAAAGTGGAACGAGTTTCCGCTGCATCGAAAACCAGAGAGTCTGGTGGTGAAGACTGTCACCTCAGTTCAAATCTCGCCTCCACCAGGCACAGTCACCTACACTGACTGTCTCTAAATCTCAATTTCCTAATCTGAAAAACTGGGAGACTCTCAGTTCCTAATTCACCAGCTGCCATGAGGGTATAAATGACAATACCCATAAAGTTCTCAGCACAGTGCCCGGACAGCGTGAATGTTCAGTAAATCGTGGGCCGTTATCCATCATCACCACTGTTATTGTTGTTACATTGGGCAATTAGGATAAAAGCAGCCACCTCGTCCAGAATGGTTTCTGTGCTGTGGTTCTGAGCCCCCTCACCACTGGGCCTTGAAAAGGAAAGGGGAAGACACCGAGTGCTGATGAGGATGTGGAGCAACGGGCCTCTCACACACGGCTGGTGGGAGCGTGAAGGGGTGCAGCCAAACTGTTTGGCAGCTTCTGTTCAAGCTAAACATATACCTACCGTAAAATCTAGTCGTTCCACTCTTGTGTATATCCCCAACAGAAATCAGTACTCAGATCTCCAAAAACAACGTGAACAAGAAAATTCGTAATATCAGAAATAGGAAAAAAACTAAAATGGCAATCACAGGAGAACGGACATACTTAAAATGAGATAACGCCGAGTACTGAGAAAGAGCAGAGGTCAACTATATGCAACCCCAAGAATGAATCTCACAGACACAATGATCATCACAAGATGACGGAGAATATACTGTGGGGTTCCATTTACATCAATTCAAAAATAGTCAAAACTAATCTCTGGTGATAGAGTCTAAATACTGGTTACCTTACCAGGAGGAAGCATGAGAAGCCTCTGGAACTGCTAGAAGTATTGTATATGTTGACCTGGGTTGTGGTCACTGGGGCTTATATTTATATAAAAGTTCATCAGACTGATCATCAGACTGAACTCAAAGATTTATGCATATTGCCATATGTAAGCAAAAAAGTAAAAGAAATAAAGGAGCTAAGGAAGTCAAGTGTAGACAACTTTTCCTTGAATAAGACAACTCCTCCAAGAGCTTAGTTGTACGAATGAAGTAGTCAACACCATTTAGAAACTGCCATGGAGCCAGAAATGTTTTGTGCGTTTTATTTATCCCAAGTAAGCGCCCTGAGCATGTTTTATATGCTGAATAGACGGAGAATAAAGACAAAAATGAAGCAGAAAATAAGTGAAGAAGCAAGGTCCCTGAGAAGGCAGGAGAAGGTGTGATTTAGTCTCCGGTGCAGGTGTGGCCATAGCAGGGGGCAAGACCTATTCCATGGAGGTGAGAAGGGAAGCTACAGGTGTAAGACAAAGATGAATCTGGAAGGCCAAGGAGCAAGAGCAGGAGGACAATAAGTAGGTTGTACGCTGAGATATCAGTGGCTCAGGAGTGCTGAGTGTTTGCATCAATGGTGGAGGGGCTGGGGGAGCTGGTACAGGAGACAGAGCTGACCAGAAACAAAGAGCAGATGTGGGCTGACCAGTCAGCAGTGTGTGGGCATCACACTGCCAAAAGATGATGAGAGCTTAGATTAGGATGTTCCTGCTGGAGCTCATGGAGGTGGCAGAGGTGACTTGGGTTAGATGGAGGCAGAGCGTTATGGGTTTGTACAAGGTCATTTCCCACCTTCCTGACTGTCTGAGTGACAAGGCCATCCGCTGAAACTGTGGAATATAACTAAAAGGAAAGCATTCGGAAGAGATTCAGTCGGGCGGAGGAGGGGCTGGCTGAGCAGTGCAAGGAAGCAGGAGAGGGGCAAGACCATGACTCTGCAGTGGCACCAATCAACACACTTGATGACTCCAGCTGCCCTCAGCAGCCCAGACATGTGGCAGACAAAGCCAGATGTTGAGGTTTTACAGTAAAGGAGGGGCAGGAAGACAATGGAGTTAGGGATTGCTTCTGTCTGACAAATGGGAGGATGAACCAATGGATGGAGAATGGTGGGATGCACAGATAGTAGGACAGGCTCTTTTTCTTCAGAGTCCAGAAGGGCATGGGCGGTGTTATGCAGTGTGACTGATACCACTAGATGAAAGATCCTAATAGCTGATTTTTGCTGAGCTCCTAACTGTGGCTCAGACATGGGGCTAACCAGTTCCATGCACTAAATGATTATATCTTCAAACACCACAACGAATTAGAAATTATTATCACTTTCAGTTTTCAAGAGTAGGCTGAGTGCAGCAGACTGGGTCAATGGAAACCAAACCCATCTGCTCTTCCTGGGCACCTAAACCCCACTTCCCTGCTGCATCCAAAGAGGGATGGCTGACTGCTGAGTTCTCATCAACAGAATGTGAGGGGAAGTGATGTGTGTGCATGCAAGTAGGTGTGACTTCCACCCTTCCTCTCATTTCCCCTCTTCCAGTGGAATGATGCCAAGGTAACCATAAAGCCACATATGGATGACAGAAGGCACCTGGGTCTCTGAATAACTGCGTGATACAAACTCCCACGCTGACCCACATGGACCCTGCCATGAGAGAGAAAAATATCTTTCATGTATTGGGCCACTGAGATTTTGGAAATTGTGATACTGCAGCAAGCATTAACTTAGCCTAACCGAGCTAAATGAGGCACAACAAAGTCATGCAACTTCCCTACTGTCACAGGGCTGGTGAGGGGCAAAGGCAGATTTTAAGATCCAAGCAGTTGGAGCCCAGAGCCTCACTGTTACCCAAACAGGTTCTTCAGCTGGTGGCAAGAAAGAATGCGTTGGGGTGGGAGGACAGAGGGACCTCAAGACAAAGGGCTCTACATCAAGCCAGGCACTCAAGGAGGCACAACAGGAAGCTTCCCATGGAATTCCAGAGGCAGTGGTCCCCTCCCAGGTAAGGCTGCCATGACCCCCACCTCCTGTTTCTTGGCCACCCGCCTGGACAGGCACTTTGGGAAAGGCCTCCCTTCACCGTCCATAGCTCCTGCCTGCGCTCCAGTAGGTGGATCAGCTCTGGTTTGGGAACTGGATATTGTGTTTGTGGAGAAAGGAATAAGATATGCTTATTTTAGCAAAGACAAAAAGAAATGTCTCAATGCTGTCTGGGACGTCGGGATGGAAAGGTGACCTTGGAATGAAGCTGCTGTCATCCACAAACACAATATTGATCTGTCACCTGCGAACCAAGGCCAAGAACATCATCATTGGGTCCTAAAGGCTGAGTAAGGGTCCCCTGGCTGTCTAGAGCAATTCATGTCCCGTACCTCCATCCTAGAGAGCCCCAAAACTGTTCAGATGCAGTCATGGGGCCCATGCACACCACTGTCAATGGAACATTAATTATGACTATTGCTATTAATTGCTTTTCTTTGACAAACTTTTTATTTTACTTTAACAGATTTTCAAAAAGGGAATCTTGTGTCAGTTTGAGAAATTGAACAACCAGTTTCATTTGCCACAAATGGAAAACTACTGCAAGAAAATCAAAATAACACTATTAAGTCTCAATGAACTCATGGTACCTGCTTGGGGCTTGAGTCTAAGCCTGTCCCTGCTGTTGAAAAGGGAAATTCCCAGTCCAAGGGCATTAAAGACTCAGCACAAAACAGACACTTCCTCCCTAAACAATCAGCAAGCAGGACAGAAAGGAGAAAAAGGCATGGCTTTCTCTGGTTGTCCATCAATGCCATTTATCGCATTTGTGTACCCTCTAAAATCATCTCCCACCCCAAGAGAGGGTCATGGCCCAGACTTAAGGGCACAGGACGGAGCATGTAGGCATCACGGGCCAGTGAAGCCTCTGAAATGGGACCGTGCTGTTTAGAACAGTGGTGGTAGGACTCACGCAGCCACCTCCTGGTGTCCTGACTGGTTTACTCACACTCTGAACAACATCCCATTACCCAGGGGTCCTGCTGACCGGGCTGTGAACCAACCGAGCTTGGTCACTCAACTTCCACCTCGTGGGAATCTGGAGAAGGGACAGACTAGGGCCAGCTTGTGCTGAGCCCCGGGGTGAGAGGTAAAGGGAAGTGTGGGCTCAGATGGCAGTTTCCTGCCAGGACACCCGTGCAGAGACAGCCAGGTGGAGAGAAGGACAGAGAAATGAAAAAACCATACGGAGAGAAGAAGAGACAAGTAATCGGGGAGTTTCTCAGCATGAGGACAGGGGTGGGCACTTCCGGCCATGAACTCTGTGTAGCAGAAAAGGCCAGTCTGCTGAGAATGGCACAAGGAGACCCACAAGGAGACACAAAGATCAGAAGTCCCTGAGGCCAAGATCTAATCAGGATTCCTTCCATTTCCTGACTTTAGGCTCTCATGGTACCCGACTGGATACCCTGCCCTTAGATATTAAAAGACACCCATATTTCCTCCAACAAATCTTTCCCCTTTAGTATCTGAGCTGTTTTGAGGGGAACTATGTTTGTTGCCCAAAATTCCTTGTGGGAGACATAGGAGACTAGGCAGATTAGTTTCACTAGGTGAAACTAATGCACGTCAGGGATGTGAGGAGGAGGGAGGGTGTCCTGTGAAAGCCTTCTGAACAAAGTACAGGATGAAGGAGGCTGAATGTCCCCAAGGAGAGGAGCAGTGAGGCCTTACCCAGAGAGACCAGGAGCCCACAGGTCTCCAACATCACCTCCCAGTACAGAGTCCTCTGGGCAGGGTTCAGCTGCCCCCATTCGTCCTGAGTAAAGGTCACTGCCACATCCTTGAAGGTCACTGACGCCTGGAAAGTCAAACAGAGGTAGCTTTGTTGGCCCTGGGCCAGTCAGATGAGATTAGAGCCCGATGCTCAGTCGCTGGTAAAGGACCCCAGAGCCCCAAGGCCAGTATCACTGAGCATTTCCTGGGAGCTGATGGGGTTCAGGGGAGGCCGCCCCAAGATGAGCCACTTTGGCACGTGGAGTATTTTGAGCTGAAGGCAATCAACACCCTGTGGGCTCAAGGGAGATTTTTTACCTCTCCCTTGAGGAATTTAAGTTAATGGCTTTGCCTATAAGGAGAGTAATTACCAGAAATAACCTTTTTTTTTTTTTTTTTTTTTTGGTGAGGAAGATCAGCCCTGAGCTAACATCCTCCTCTTTTTGCTGAGGAAGACCGGCTCTGAGTTAACATCTGTTGCTAATCCTCCTCCTCCTTTTTTTCCCCCAAAGCCCCAATAGATAGTTGTTATGTCATAGTTGCACATCCTTCTAGTTGCTGTATGTGGGACGCGGCCTCAGCATGGCCAGACAAGCGGTGTGTTGGTGCGCGCCCGGGATCCGAACCTGGGCCACCAGTAGCGGAGTGCGCGCGCTTAACCACTAAGCCACAGGGCCGGCCCTGTTCTCATCCTGTGAATTACCCTCCTCCCCACTGGAACCCCAGGCCCCGAACCCATTCTTGGCTCAAGATGGCATGAATACCTCAGTTTACCTTTCTGTCTCTGAATCCCTCATGGATGTGGGGTTCCCACATGTATGAAATTAATTAAATGTGATTTTCTCCTATTAATCTGTCTCATGACAATTTAATTCTCACACCAGCCAGGAGAACCTAAAGGGTAGAGGAAAATTTCTTTCTCTCCAACAGCTGGAGTAGCTGGCAGGACAAACTTCTCTGGCTGGACTCTGCTCCCTTCGAGGCCACTGCAGCTGCAGAAGATAAGAGTTCTTACCCCATCAGTCTCCCAGATCTCTGCCTGCTGCAGGATCCACTGGAACCAAGAGTCATAAGAATCTTTTTTTCTCTTTCCTAAATTTAGATTAGCAGGAGAAAATATTTGTGAAAGCAGTTTCTTGAACTTAACAACTCTAGTGAATTTAGTAGAGCACTCTTGGTTTTACTGATCCATTTCCTCCCAGAGATAGTCACTGTTTTTCTTTGTCCTTGCGTATTGTCCTAAGAGGGAAATTCCATAGTCAAAGTCCACTCATAGCCATCTGGAAGGGGTTCCCTGTTTGAGCAGGCTCAAGGTATGAGGTTTTTTCCTTCCATCTTGTTATATGTCCTGAGAGCTGGGCGTTTTTGACCAGTGAGAAAATTCTCTCTGATCTCCACCAATCCAGAAGGTGCATTTACCAGGTTGCATCTGGTGGTCTGGTGGTCTTGGGGTTCTGAGTCTCTCAGCTCTCAAGGGAGTTTGTCCTTTTTCTTGAGACTATCTTTGGTAGTGACCTTTTTTCTTGTATCATGGGGGCTATATCACCTGCACCCTTTCCAAGGACATCTCTTGCGTCTGTGGTAAAGATTTATTCTAAGCCTGGAAAGTTACCTCCAGGTCTTTCCATAAAGAGGCTTACTGGATTGAGTCACTATTGGAAAAAATATACAAATGGAGATCCTCCTTCTCAATGAGCGATGAATCTTTTGAATTGGAAAAACTTCTATATTTGAAAAAATTTTTAGAGAGCTCTCATTCCAAGCAACTGCTTTATTGGTATTTATGGGAGGATCAAATTGAAAAGAAAACCCAAAGAAGTGTAACAGGTGGCCACAGGGAATCCCTTAATAAAATGACAGAACACAAGTCAGACCTAGAACAAAGATTAAAAACCAAGTCTAGCATAAACTCTCCCTCTCCTCCCTCTTATACCCACCCCCCCATCCCCAGCTCCCTGACACCGACCCTCCAGAAGATCTTTGGGATCACTGGGCCCTGGTCTAAACACCCCCTCAGAACCCAGCTCCATTTCCTAAGCCTTAGATCCTAAGACTCCCCTTCCCCAGAAAACATCCACCTGCCTATTTTAATTTCCGTTTCTCTAGAAGACCTACAGAGGGCACTCGGGCCTGACCTCCATGCAAGGGGCACAGAGGTCACTTGTGTAAATGCTGAATGCCGAGAAGTGACTTTAGCAGAAGCAGTTAGGAAGCAGGAAGGATCACTTTGCTGTCCCTTATGACTCTCCCTACTTTCCAGGGCTCGATAAACTGGCCCTGCCAACTTCATACGTTCATATGTAATGTCCCTTGGGGATGTATTTTGGACCTCCTCCGCAAAGAGTTCAGGTCTCCTGGACAGCAGCCGATCTTTCAAATTATAAAACCCTCTCCTACCTCCACTGTCAGAAGATCCTACAAAATTTAGAAAGGAGTGAGAAAGATTAGTGACTATTCATAACCCTACTCACAGAGACCTTGACTGGCTACTAAGGCGCCTTCTTCCAACTCATGATTAGATTACAGTGTAGTTATCAGATAGGCCAGATGGCTTCCGGGAGAAAACCCTCCCACAGGGGAGATGGTGGCCAGACCCTCTCCCAGGCCCTCCTGCAAATGACCAGGGGATGGCTCTGCTAGAGGCTGATATTCAGGGTTTAATGGGAGCTGTCTTAGAAGCATTTCCTCCTAAAGTTAATTGGTCAAAGACTGAAGTGTACACTCAGAAGGAAAGAGAACAGCCAAAAGCCTTTGTCGAATGATTTACACAGAGCTTTTGAAGGCACACTGCATTAAACCCAGAAGCCCGGAGCACAGGAAATCTCCTGATTTATGCTGCAGTGGGAAATTTTCTCCCCGTATAAAAACGCAAATTCAAAATAGTGTAGTTGGCTGGTCGGCAACTGTTACGCATGATAATGGAGGCCCCCAAGCAATTCTTTGAAAATAGTTTGCAGGAATGTAAAAGGAAAGAAAGAGTTAAAAGCAACAATTCTTGCTCTGCAACTCGAATCCCTAGAAAGACAGAAGCAAGATATGGAAAACGCCTTAAGGGCCGCTCAGAGCCTCCCCTATTTGCCTCCAGACGTTAGCAATACGTTGGTATTGTAAGAAGCCAGGACACTGAAAAGAAACTGTCCAGGACTCAAGAGAAAGGAAAGTGTAAGAAGCAACCCACCAGGCCCTAGTATGCCCAGAAGGTTCATTTTTCTCCTCCTGAGGGGCATTTCTCCCCCAAATGATGGGGTCAGCCAATCCTCAGTCGCACCCCAGAGCCCACCATCAAACAGAGGATCAGAACTGGATTTCTTAATTGATACTGGTACGACTTTCTCTACCATCGCTCAGAGGACTATTCCCTGCGCATCACCTCTGCTGCTATTCAAGCTGTTGGAGCCTCTGGGCAGCCTATTTCATTGCCCACACCTCAGCCCACTCCAACAGCTCTAGGCTCTCTCAACACCCATCATGCCTTTGGTTTCTAATTGCTCACCAGCAAACCTTCTTAGCAGAGGCTTGTCATGTAAATTTAACGTCACCATAAACTGTAATGAGAAAGCCGTTTTTATTTACCTACCTCAGATGAAACACTGAATCTCCTACTTTCCTTACCAGAAACTCATCTTGATCTAAACTCTTCTGAAGAAGATGAGTCTCGAAGAGATGTTCCAATTAGCCTTTAGCCCACACATTCAAATGAAGTAGGATTGTTACTGAGGGCAGAACCCGTGCACATTACTTTGAAAAAGAATAAACCGTTTCCATGAGTAGCCCAAGCCCGCTCTGCAGGGATGCAGAGCCAGGAACTGAAGCTGACACCGACCCCCTCTGCAGCAGGGTGTACTAGTTTTACCTCCTCACCCTGTAACGCTCCAATCTTGCCAGTGAAAAAAGAAGAAACCTGAGTCAGATGGGAACCAAATCTACCGATTGGTACAAGACCTCAGAGCCATACACTCTTTTGTAATTCCTCGGCATCCTGTGGTTCCTAATCCAGCTGTTACTCTTACCTGATCCCTGATGATGCTGCCTGGACTGACCTCTGCTCAGCCTTTTCTTCAATCCCCCTGCACCCTCACTCACAAGTTCTTTTCGTATTTACATTTAAAGGGAGACAATTAACATACCTCAGGGATGTTGTGAGTCCCCTCAATATTCTCCCAAATCCTTAAAGCAGACTTGGATTCTGTAGCCTTTACTCAAGGCTCCACCCTTGTCCAGTATGTTGATGACCTTTGTCGACATAAATAATCCATAATCAACCTATAAATCAAAACTGGGGTGAGTTTATTATGAGGCAACTTTTGAGGACCATAGCCTGGGGCCTTCCCTCCCTAAGGAAGGAAAGGCACCAAAGAAGTGGGGTGTACAGAGCAGTTATATACCGTCAAAGAGCACGTATCACATATGATCGCAGTGTCCCTTTACAATAGCCACAAGATCACCCCACCAGACTGCCCTGTCAGCATAGCAGATTGATGGACACAGCGGGGAGCAGGTCTGCTGTCTCCACGGATGGGGCTGGTGGCAGGTCTGTTGTCTTGAGCCGGGTGGTCGCAGGATGAGTGCAGCAGTCAAATCCTAGCCTAGACACACGTGTGTGGTGATGGATTGTAATTAGTATTTGGGTGGTGAACATGAGAACATGATGTAATCCATGCAGAAAGAGAAGGATAATGAGGTACACCTGAAATTTATACAGTGTTATAAACCAATGTTACCACAATAAACAAACAAACAAACAAAATCCTAGCCTAGGGAGAAATGCTTATCCTTAAGGAAATGCCAATATGGGGGAAGTTGCATCCTTATCTTAAGAGCATTTACTCTTCTCTTTGAGACGTGGTAACGCAGATACATAATGCATGTTTGAAGGCGACAGGCCCTGCTGGAAAAACAAACTCAGGCCGAATTCGTTTTACCCCAAACGGCTTCCTCACATGCTCCAATGTATCCTATCACTTGCCATTTATCAATCACCTTTTTTACTTTGTAAATAAACTAAGCAGAGAGCTCTTACAGACCCCCCTATTCTCCTAAAGGCACTGGCTGGATGAGGCCAGAAAGTCTCCAGATCTAAACTTC